ATATAAAATGATGGTGTTGAGTCCGATGCTTGGGAATGCTGTTGAAGATAAATATTGCTTACGAGTGCTATTGATTTATACAGCAGTATTAGATAGAGTATGTCGTGCACAAAAGAAATTAATTGACCAAAGAACAAACTTTAAACAGATGGAGAGAAACTAAGATGAATCCTGAGACTGTTTTTTTCACCAACTTGCCTCTGATGGATTGAGAATTGAAGCATATTCTAATAAACCAAAATTAATCTATGAATTATAAGCAGGTAGAAAAATAGAAAAATAGAATGAGATGAAATTAAATGTGAACTTGACGAAGGAAACAACTTTAATGCTGAGGAAGAAGGCCAACTGCAAATATGATTAAGAAAGTGACATTTGACTCTTGAAATCTCTTAGCAAGGGGTTTGAGTTAAGAGCTGAAGCTTTATGGATGATAGAGATTTTCAACGTGTTAAATTTAATATTTTAATTCATACAAATTAAATAAGATTAAATAAAGTAATATGCATACTTTAAGAATCCATCGAAATAAATAGGTAAACACATAACCCATTAAATCTTCATAACTTATAGAGAGTACAGAGATAATGAAAAAAGTAAAAGTATGGTATGCATTGGTTACCGACTAATCACGTTATATATGGATCACATTAGCAACAACCTGAATGATTAATTAATTAATTTTACATTATTTTTGACTCATTCAGTTAAGTGATAAGGAATAATTAACTACTATAAGATTGAAATAAAGAATAATATACTATTATAGGATTATAGGTTAAGCCTCTACCATTAGGCTTACTGTGTGTTATACCTATCACGGTTCATACAAGATTATAAAAATTAATATCTTCTGAACTTAATATCTAATTAATATAAATCCATATTATATAAATATCCCAACACGACAATCATAATTGATTGAATAAAATGATAACTACTACAAGATTGAGATAAAGAATAACAGATTATTATAGGATTATAGATTGAATCTTTACCATTAGGCTCACTTGTGTGTTATACCTATTATGGTTAACACAAAATCATAAAAATCAATATCTTCTGTGCTTAACATCTAATTAATATAAATCCATACTATATAAATATTCCAACACGACAATCATGATTGGTTGAATAAAATGATAATGTGCCGAGTCGAATCTCTACGTGATATTTGAAAGTTGCTTTGAAATGGAAACTAACCAAGAGACCAAACTAACATCATTGAAAGTTCAATTTTGGATATTCAAACCACCAAATCCTTTGCTATCTGTAACTATGAATAGCATAGCTTATTTTTTTTATGAAGTACATTACCAAACATTCATTATAAATTAAAATATAGACATTTTATCACCAATTGTCGAGTCACGTGATAAGGACTTGATTTTTTAAATAAAGTTGAAAAATTCAAATCTTATTAATGAAAAAAATTACGTTATGACGACCACCATTAGTTGGGTCTAAATAGTAGTGTTATCTCCATCTAGATTTGATAATGTTAAAATCCAACCTGATATTCTCCGATTTTAGATAATTATATTAAAAAAAATTTATATGTACCAACCAATTTATATTAAGAGCTTGTATTTTGGACCTGTTTATTTAAGATTAAAAAATAAGTAGTTTTTAGATAGTTTAGATATTATATAAAAAGAGATTTATATTATAGAGATTTTATAAAAAGTAAATATTACTTTATATTTGGCTACAATAATAAAAAATAAATGTTAATTAGTTATTTTTAAATTTTATCATATCTTCTTTGAATTTTTTTATAAAAATAATTTATTACTTAATTATTTTAAAATTTTATGATATTTATGCACATCACTCCTTTTTAAAACATTTTCTTTCATGATTTATCTACCATATCATATTTTTTTAAAAGATACTCAAAATGCTTCTTAAAAGAACCATAAATTTATTTTTTTAAAATTTTAATTATTTTTAAAAATTTAAATAAATATTATAATTTTTTCAAAAGAAGAAGTGATCTTTTATAAAATATGCTAAACAAGCAGGCCCACTATCATAAATAAGAAACGCTATCATTGAGAGAATGTAGGGAAAATGCCGAGAAGTGTCATGATATAAATAGATGTCGGTCGTTGGATCTCATGAACAAACGAGACGCAGCCACGTCAGTTCAGTCCATCAAAATAATTTTTTGGGTCAGCCGCAATGGTTATTTTGTTTTTGCTTGCATTAGCCTCTTAGGAAGCTAGGCGAAGATAAACACGTGTCATGATCTTGTATTCTTGTTCGTCAATCAAATCCAACGGCTATCATCTAATCATTTGATGACACTGTAAGATAAGCTACACCTCGGGGAATCTAAACAGAAGGATGTGAATGAAGATAATAAAAATCAGAATCCCCCCAGGGCCCAGCACCTTAAAGCCAGCCTATAGGTCCATTTCTGTTTAATTGCGTGTCTTTTAATGTCACGTTGACACATTTCGTTGCAACTCACATTTTGGATTAAATGTATATTCTACTTTATAATTACTTTTGTTTGGCATTCAAAAGTAACAAAAATTTAAGCCGATGCCAATGCTATGTTATCAGTGATTGTGATTTTCTTTAAATAAATATATTGATATTTTTTTATTTTTTTAACAGATATAATTAATATTCAATGAATTAATTTCAAGAGAAACATCAATCGTTGTTGTCATTTCAATATTTTTTTTTTTTACAGCTTACTAGTATCCTGTTATGAGAGGCAATCTTATTTGAAGAATAAACGGCACTAAATGTTAGTACCTTTCTTAGTGAAGATTCAAATTGGTTTGTTATATTGTTATAAATTAGACTCTTCTATTAAACTCAACCTTTATTGCTGTTATTTCAATATATTTCAATTCCCTGCAGTAACATTATGCAATTATATGCATATATAAGCTGAGTTGGCATTGGTCTTGGTCCATACAAATATGGGTGAATTAGAAATAGAGACAAATATTTTTTTATATAAACAAATAGAGACAAATATTGCATGTATCATAATATATAGAACAAGATAGTTAGATGAATAACTGTAAAACATCTTTGCAGCCCTATCACATGATAATTATTCATATCACATGACATATTTTTCCTTAGCTTTTTAGCGCAAACTATGTTATTAATGCACCATTCATTTGCTAACATGGAAAATGTGCTTTAATTGTTTTGAATATACATGTCATGCCCTTGAAAATAGCAATATTTTAGCATCGTTATCGTTACGGAATTATTTTGAAGGTTCGTGATTTTATATATATATATATATATATATATATGTCGTAGAAACTCTATAAGAGATGAAAGTATATAAGCTGATATTCACTATTGAAGACCATAATTATGGACGGAAATGAAGTGTTTAGAGACAAGGATGAGTCAGAGAGTTTAAGACTTGGAAGAGTATATTTGAATAATCAAAATAATCAGCTTTTCACATTGTCTACTGATCAGTGGTGATATATTAGATACTTGTGTGATGAAACTATGATTATATACAGGTGGCTTGTTTGTTTGTTCTATGATTATTACTGCAGTTAAATTTATCACCAGCATATATTTTTTTCACATCCTATCATTTCCTTAAATGGTGTATTCGTGCTAATATAATTTCACGTTACATTATCGTGAACTCCACAATTTATAATATATATTAAACCCATGTCGTCTAATGTGTACTTTTCAAATGTACTCTTTCTCCTCACGTGGTCATCTTAGGTTTGCTCTTTATGATATTAATTAATAAACCATAGAAGTCGTGGTAAATTAATTTTTTACATATATATATTTAAGAAATTTCTGAAGTAAAATTGTACCGTTCATCACCACAAATTGCCATTGCTATAAGCAATCATAAGTGGATAATTCATACGCTATATATATGTAATCTCATGTGTTGTCTTCATAGTTTTCAATATTATTGCTAATTATAACTCAAGCGTAGATTTAATTATTGTTTCCCCTCTACTACTTTAATTAATTGTACTGTTATTTTTTTACCTTGAAAAATTACTTGTATTATCTAGGTCAGGCAACAATGTAAAATTCATATTTGATCATGTCTTGGAACCAAAATCAAATAAAAATAAAACTTTACCAGCTTATTATTATTGTTATCTTTCCACATACTTGTAAAAAGTAGTACACGTCATGTTACTGTGGCTTCGATTTGGATTGTCTTTCATGTTGTTCAGTATCATGATTTTCATGTTTGCAGGAGCGGTGAAAATTGTATCTTTCTGCAAAATATCCCATGTTTTAGGGCTTAATTTCTTACTTTATAACTGATACTAATGTTTTTATTTGTAGACGCGCCCAAGCGTGAATTTTGTTATCTTAAATTTTATATTTTGTTTGCCTTTTGAGGCCAATAATTATTATTATTTGGTGGTGAAACAATAAACATGATATTTGTATCATGTAGTTGAATTAACTTTTAAATTTATGCAAACAATTAATTTATCTATTATCTTAACAATGACATTCATTCAGAGTTTAAGAATGTTATCGGAATTAAAGAAAAAATTTTCACACAATTCATTAGAATAAAAAATATTTCAGAAATTATTTGATATTTTGAGTCTCACATTACTAATACTACTTTTTTTTTTTCAATCTATGATATTCGATCTATCAAAAGATAAAACAATCTTATTCTTTTAATTTAAAGATATGTAAATCCTTTTGAAAAATTGAACAATTTTTTTTTTTAAATGATAATCTCGTGGGCTAATAGCCTCAAACGGTGAAAGAAACACCGAAATTAATGAAACCAGGATCTCGTGGACTTTTCTTTATAGTAGAAGGGGAGGAGGAGAGAATCTCACAAGCCAGGTGTAATATGTCCGTACACGCGCCGGTTGCGCGTGGGTTCGCGCTTCCCTTACCCTGAACGGACCACATCACAATCGTAATTTCTCTCTCAAAAAACTTTGCACATAATAAGAGTGAGTATTGCATTGTGGTTGCTACTCTCTCTCTCTCTCTATATAGCGAGAGAACGACTTTGGTTTTTCACTTTCTATTTTTTCTTTTTCTCTCTCTCTCGTTTTCTCGACCCCTTCAATACAGTCTCCTCCAATTCAGCCTTCGTAGCCATGAAAGCTCTTCTTCCTTGAACGCAGGTACCACTCGCTCTCTGTTTCAATCTATCTCTCTGTGTATTATATGTGTATAGTAGTTTCTATGTCTTTGTGTTTCCCTTCCTCTGAACTATGTATATTCACTTTTCTCTTTGTTTTTATTTTTATTTTTCAATCTCTAACTTGCCAATCGGCGTGTAACCATGACGGCCCATTTTCTCAGGTTTGCTTCTTCACGTGGGTCTGGGTTGGTTCTTCTTCTACCATGGAGGTACTGTGAGAATCTTTTCTGTTTTCCTTTTCTCTTATCTGCGTTGTGCTTTGCTTAATTCCTGCACGATTTTGTTGGACTCCTCAATGCGTTCTCCTACTTCACTGTCCGCGGTGTGGCTTGAATTTTCTTGGATCATGTTGGAATTCTCTCTGGGAAACTGTTGGCTGTTATTGTCTGTTTCTTGTTGCTTATATTTTCCTATGTGAATATTTTTCAAGTATTTTTCTTATTTTCTTTGTTGTTCTGCTCGGGCTTGAGCTTCGTGTCGTGCTTCTTTCGTCGAGATTGTATTGCTTTTGGCATTCGAGAGTAATGTGATCGATGGGTTTCATGCATTTGTGTGAAGTTCGGGACTTTGGATATCGGGTTGCTTTCGTTTTATATATTTCGGGTTAGGAAGTGGATCTGGTTCATTGCTTCGCTCTGGGTTTGCTTTTTCTTCTGTCGGGTGTCACTTACTTTCCAGAAACATCTGAACTCGATATATTCGATTTCGTTCTTGTGAGCTGGGCTGGTTAACACGATAAACTTGGAAAATCTGCTCGATATAAGTTTATTCAATTCCTTTTTTTCTACCAGTTTTTTAACTTGGGACCTTTTTAGTTTCTGGAGTAGGCATACAGTCCTTTTTTTAGTTTTTGTTGAAATATATAAAATAATCATTAAAAATGGGTTCGAATTATTCTTATTGACTTTCTGGTTTCTGTAAATATCTAGCCATTTCTTTCCATTTTAGTGTTAGTTTAATTTTCTCTATTTTTTTTTTCTTATTGAAACTTGAAATAATTGGGATGCTTAATGTGAATGGTGTATATCAGATGGTCTTAGAATGTTACTATAGAATGTTACGATACCAAATGTTAATGAGCCATTTTGTTAAAACACAACGGTTAGCTGAAAGCATCAGATCTCTTTTCTGAATTTGTGGCCTGTCTCAGTATTCAATTTAGATTGACTGATGAATTATTTTCTGGTCTCTTTGACTTCAACATGACTCTTTAAGGAATGAGTTAAAACTTAAAAGTCCTTAGCGTGTTCAAGGTTCTGGGGTTCCTTTCCTTTGTTCTCCATAATGAAAATATTCCTGCACTGTCTAGTCTGGGTGTTTATAGAAATAGAAGGGCAAACTCGGTTCAATCTTAAATCAAACTTTTGTGGTAATGTCTCAACAGCAATGAAATAAATTATGTCTCTATGATGCTTTCTCTAAATTAGTTAATTTTCTTCTAGGTGGACACAGTTCAAGGTAATGACCTTGTGAATGGCATTGAGGCGCACACAGATGAACAATCACTTTCGCCTGAAGGTTCTGATGTTTATGATGCTTATGTCGATCAAGACATATTTCCTCGAGTGGGTGAGCAGTACCAGGTTGAAATCCCACCTTTAATGTCACAATCTGATTACTGCCGGTTACAAAAGAACATAAATGAGGCAGAGACCACCGCAGCTTCCCCCCATGATTTTTCAGTAGGATTACCTATTCTGATAACTTGGATTAATGATGAAGTAGGGAAGAAAAGGCATACAGTGCTTGGCAATGTTTGCAAGTCAGGTGGAATTGCTGATAAATTGGGGTTCTCAAAACTAAAATGCAACAAAAAGAGCCAGAATTCTTTGTACACTAATGAATCAAATTCTAAGCATGAGGTCATTATGGGAGAATCTGCAAATTTGAATGTGCAGCAAGAAACAATGGTTGAGGCGCATGAGAACAATAAAGGCAAAGGCTTCTGTCTTGTTCCTGGGTCTTCAACTGACATCTGGAATGAAAAAGAAGAGGCCAGGCTCATTCTCAGCTTGTACGTATTTGGTAAAAATCTGGTTCTGGTGAAAAAACTTATGGGCAATAAGAAGATGAGGGACATATTGTCATTCTATTATGGGAAATTTTACAAGTCTGAGAAATACCGTAGATGGTCAGAATGTAGGAAAATGAGAAGCAGAAAATGCATTTATGGGCAGAAAATTTTTACTGGACCAAGGCAACAAGAACTGCTATCTCGTTTGCTACCCAATTTATCAGAGGAATGCAGCAAAAGCTTACATGAGGTATTGACTGATTCTTTCCGGTTTATATTTTCTCAGTTCATCATTTATGCATCAAGTGCATGCACTTGTTTGTGGTAAATTCGGAAAGTGTATCATCAAGGATACGTTTGTACTTCAATTTTATTGCATTACCACATCAACATCTGATGCAACTCTCGCATCTTTGCACATATCAATGCTTCAGTCCATTATTTTCTACTTCTAACAGTCCCAGAATCTCTTTCCCTACTAGAGCAACATGCATAATTGGTTTGCCTGCAATATAGAACTAAAATAGTTGAGATTTTTTCAGACAACATTTCGTTCAATCTGTCTGAAACAGCCTTGTTAACAGACTCGTGCACACTAGTAAACAGACATGACAAAGCTGATGGTGCAGTAGATCAATCCATCTTAGGCACAAGATGATGAAAGTAGAGTTCATACTTACACCAATATTACTGATTAACAACCTTTATTCTGCTAGATAATATCAGGAAACCCAATACAAATCCTAATCTTTTTGACAAACTGTCTACAAGGGACTTCCTTCTTTGTATAGAGCAATAGAAAATAGTTTGATTTCTTTAGTAATTAATTGCACAAGATCTCTGACCTGACTCCCATCCTGAACTCCAACCCTGTAATTAATAGCACAAGGTTTAAAGCCTTCTCATTCCTCAATCCTAAACTCCTCACATTTTATTCACTAATGGAAGGAAATAATGGGTATTATTCCAAACGTTCTAAAAATGGAAAAGCATGTCTTCCACTTAATCTTACAAGGCTGCATAATAATTGGAAAGTGTTCTAAAAATGGAATTGTTATGCAGGATTTCAAATGCTCATTCAATTAAACATTGCCATCTCATAAGGATAGTGGTAAATAAAGTAAAGTGGTGATGAATTTGATTGAGGGTGAAAATGAATTTTCAACCTATATAGTTCTTTGGAATGAATTTATACTTGTGCTGATATTAAAGTATTCAGTCTTTGCTTCATCTTTTTTTACTGTCATTTAACCTGGATTCTTGTCTCTGCATCATTATGGCGCCAACTCGTTACCTTGTGAATAACTTGTAATTCTGTTAATTTGTCTATTCTTTCCTGAGTGGTTTCTTGTAGTGTGCTACTCTGAGCTGATTTTCTTAATATGCCACAGTTTTTTGTTAGCTTGAAAGTTTCTGCAGCATCCTGAAAAATCTTTGCATATGAAACCTAATTAGTTATCCAGATAAAAGCCATCTTGATCTGCAATTTCTTCTTTTATTAATTAGTTTTGTAAATGTAAATTCTTTTACTGGATAGGTGTCAAAGACATTTACAGAGGGCAAAATGCTTCTAGAAGACTATGTTTTAACTTTGAAGGCTTTGGTTGGGCTTGATGCTCTAGTTGAGGCTGTAGCGATTGGTAAAGGAAAGGAAGATCTCACAGTTTTCACCACAGATTCTTCAAAGTCCACTCACACATTTCCTGCCCGCCCAGAAATACCAGTTGGCAAGGCATGCTCAATGCTTACGCCTGCAGAAATAATAACTTTTCTAACAGGTGATTTTAGATTAAGTAAAGCTCGATCAAGTGATCTCTTCTGGGAAGCTGTTTGGCCTCGTTTACTTGCCAGAGGATGGCACTCTGAGCAACCTGGTAGTCATAGTTATGCTCTCCCATCTAAGAACTCTCTGGTCTTTCTTGTCCCTGGAGTCAAAAGGTATACAAGGAAACTGGTGAAGGGAAATCACTATTTCGACTCTGTCAGTGATGTCCTGGTCAAAGTTGCTTCAGATCCAGAGCTGATAGAGCTTGAGTCAGTAACTGACAATAATTGCAAAAGCGTGGAAGGAAATGGGTGGACAAACGAAACAAAATTGGACCGTGAAAATTCCCCTGAACAGCAACGCCACTGTTATCTCAAGCCAAGAACTCCAAATCGTAGCTTGGATGTAATGAAGTTCACTGTAGTGGACACAAGTCTGGCCAGTGAAAAGATGTCAAAGGTGAGAGAAATGAGAAGCTTACCAGTTGGAATTTTAGCTTCTGCATCTGAAAATGATTCCGACAGTGAAGATACCTCAGAGGAGCATACAAACGAATCTGAATGCGTCAATACCGTATGCTGTGATTGGAAGAATGCTGATGTGATTAAAGCTACCAAAGGTAACATTGGTAGGGAAGTCTCTACTGAAATCAACGACTTCAAAAATGACCCCTCAAGTGAGGAGCTTCAAGTTGGTGCTGCTAGTTTGTATGTTACCTCCAAGGACCGTAACACAGATTTGTTTAGCAGCACACACAGAAAAAACTCAATGAAATTCCAATCAAGCTCGAGACTGGTACCGGATGACAAAAATGTTATTGCCCCTGTTGCAAAAAGACGAAGGAGATTAAGTGCCTGTAGCCATGCAGAGAGAACTTGCAATGTTGCCAATGTCTTCGTGGCTCCCAGAGTAAAACAAGAAGAGGCCATTTGCTGTTGTGACAGTTCAAATTCTAACAAGATTGTTTTTCCAGGAGAAAGTCCACCGGTGGAGAAAAAAGAGATTGCTGATCCTCCGCCCCACGAGATCAAGATTTTTGCAGATCCTTCGTTAAATGCCAGTCAAATCAAAAGTGGGGAAGCTGTGCCTGAAAGTAGCTCCTCTTGTCATGATGATCAACATGAGAAACCCTGGAAGCGGATGATTGACCTTAACTTGCCTGTTCCACCAGAAGTTGAGGTTGATGAACTTTGCAATTCTGAAATGACTGGGAGACAACAAAATAACACGAGGGAGGATACAGATGATTCCTGTGCAGCCACAATCTCCAACCCTGAGGTTAACTCTGAGCAGCCTAACGTGAACACCCGAAGGCAGAGCACAAGAAACCGACCACTGACAGCTAAAGTGCTGGAAGCTTTTGCCTTGGGGTATCTAGACAGAAAGGAGAAACGTAGAGGCAGGGATTATTTGCTAGACAGTTCAGCATCTAGACCTTCCCGACGCGTGCGTGGTAAGAAGACGGGTGAGACTTCTAGCAGCAGTGGAGCAAATTTCCACAAGGAGGAAGCATCAAACGTTGTGTGTAATGGTAATGGAGATGTGATTTTAACAGGCTTCAAGTCTAATGAAGGATGAACAGGCTGGACTCAGCATGAGAATATCTCTACAACAGATTTTGCCCTGGAAGAATTATAATCACTTACTCCCAATAACGTCATGGCACATGACATGAAAGAAGTCTTTTCAGAATTTATTTGGTATAGAACATACGTGACCATAGATACAAACGTGAAACAAAAGGGGGGAAGACCATGGGTCTCAAATCTGTGTCAGAGACTGCTTACACAAGAGGCTCCTTCAGCTGCAAGGTACTTGAAAAGCCGAGATAAAAGGAAATACAATACTTGTGGTCTTTCCAGTTCTGAGCTTGAAAGCATAATAATAAAAAAAATGTCTTCCAAAGTTTTAAGTTGTCTCATTTCTTAGTTTCAATTCCTGTCCCCAATCTCAATTCCATGCCCTGTTATGAATATAATGCATAGCAATTCCATGCAGATTATGAATGTAGTTGTGTCTTTGTCTGAGAAAATATGCTGGACAATGAGGTGTTTTATGATTATTGAATTCTGTGAATATCGACATGGAAAATGAGAGAGGAGCAGTTAGCAGTTAGCGCCAGACTTTTTCGTTTTACCTTTTCTTTGGTGTGCCCTCGAGTTCTTCAAGTTGCCACCAACCATTCATTATACATACATGCATATATATAATATGAAGTTATTTTTCCAATTAAATAGCTGGTGATTGTTTTTGTTTGCCTATGCTATTTTTCTCAAGCTTGCTTTTTCAAAACAAATATTTATTATATCAACATGTTGCTGCTTAGCCATCTAGAGGCAGTTCATACAGGAAGAGTCTGTCAGTCTGTGAGTATCGCAATAAATTTGAATCTTCCTATATAACAGTTGTTTTTAAGAATTTACTAAATAAATAAGTCCCAATAAATGTGTTTAAAAATTTAAAATTATAAAAAGCAAACAACTTCATCATATGATAAAACCATTTACAAATATATATTATCAAAATTATTTTTTTGGGGCAACAAAAGTGTTTAAATAATTTTTAACTATTATTTCTATATTAAAATGGTGTATTTTGATCCGAAACATGTTATCCAATTGTTTGGGTGGAAAACAAACAAAATTTTCAAAATGAATGTTTATGTAACAATTTTTTTTTTTCAGTAGGTCTACGTAAGTTTTCATGAAAGCAAGATCTATATAATTAAATTAATTTTTTAATGTAATATTATGTAAAAATAATGTATACTCCATCCCTTAAAAAATGTGAGGCATTTTTTTTGAAGGGTTAGAGGTTAAAAAATATAAATATTTTTAATATTTCAATGTGTAATAAATGTATTTTTTTTTCAAAGGTGCCCTAATAAATAAATCACTTTATACTTATTTTAAAATGAAATACTTTATCAAATAAAAATAAATATAAAAATAATATTAATTTAAAAATAAATAACTACTTTATTGAGAATAAAATTTAATTAAAAATATCTCATAATTAAAAAAAAGAGTAATTATCAATTATTTATAATTTAAAAAACGTTACTTTTGTTTTTAATATTATTTTTTCAAAAGAAATTCCAGTGCCGTATATCGAGCCGAACCGGTCTCAATCCAAGCGCATAAAGAGTAGGCAAGGGGTGAATCCTGAATAGTCAGTCAACCTAGTCTCAGCACATTGTTTGTCGTCCTCTAGTATTTAAGATAAAATCGTCGTAGTGATAAGGACTAAATTTAATTTATTAAATTGGCTAGAAAACTTATATTAGTTGGATTGAATGGAATGGATTTATTTTTTGAACTTCGAGCTCAATATTTACAAATACGAAAGAATGAAGATAGGATCAACTCTCATTTAGATAAAAAAGGTCAAAATATTCAAATCATCAGATCATCCACGTAGACGTAATTTATAAAGTTACACCATTTATAATTTACAAATAATCTATACTTCCTTCATTTAAAAATATAAAATATTTTTAATTAAATCTTACCTCCAATAAAGTAGTTACTTACTTTTAAATTAATCTTATATTTTCATATTTATCTCTATTAAACACTCTGCAATAAATATAAAATCACTATTAACAGGGGTACTTTTTAAAAAAAGGTAAAGCTTACATGGCTAAAAATACTTACATTTTTTATCATCTAACTCCTTAAAAAATGCCTTATATTTTTGAATTGAAGGAATATAATTTATTTTACAAACAATATATACCATCATCTTCAATTTAAAAGATGGTTACTAAGCAAATAAAATGGGTATATATAAATTATAATGCCTTTGTCCCAAATTACAATATACTTTTGAATAAAATTTTATATATCAATAAATCTCATTAAATACACTTAACAACTTTATCTTTTTAAAATAAAAATATAAATTTTTAAAAATATCATTCATTTAATATATTGAAAAGAAAACAGATAAAAATTAATTATAAAAAAAATAATATTAAAATTATTACATTTAATGAAATCTTAGTATACCTAAAATATTTTATATTTTAAAATAAAAAACTTCTTTAAAAATATTTTAAAATTTGAAACGGAGTCACGGAAGTAATAATACTTTTCATCACATTTGTAGTCTCATAACCTTTTTTAATAATATTTTTTAAAAGCTTTTTCTTCCATGCTTTTGTATTTCACTTTCATTCTGGGAAGTTTTTTTTTTATTTTCTTAAATCAAATTTCCTCCCTTCTAGCTTATCATAATATTATTTTTCAGGATGTCACACCTTAAAAGTAATCTCATAATCTGAAATTGGATACCCGATAAATAAAAAGGCAGTCAAATATTGCCCTGAATTTCCTGAGCATCACACTCACACAGGGTTAAGTCTAATTATTTTATTATATTAAGATGGTTCAAACTCTTTATCATATATATATATATATATATATAGATTCTACTTTGCTTTTACCTCATGAGTTATAATTATAAATAATCTTAACGATTTTATTTTTTAAAATAAATATATCATTTTCTCAGACAACTCTAATGTTATATTCTTGTTATCTTTAATTAAAGTTTTAATCACCAAAGGATAACAAAGCTTTGATTTATTAAGGTTTTTAAATAATTAAAGAAAAAACTAATATACTAGCATTATATACTTAAGATGCTTGTTTTTAATTAAATTAAAGAATAAATTTTTTTATATATTATGCATTTTATAATAAATTATTATTAATACATTAAGATTTATTTGTCTTACTTTTATCAGATAAAAAATATTATTTAGTATATAAGGCTGGATATCTAAGTCTTGCCAATTATTAAATCATAAGACCTACATTTAGTTATAATTAAATCTAAGTCTTACCTCATGAGTTATAATTATAAATAATCTTAACGATTTTATTTTTAAAAATAAATATACCATTTTCTTAGACAACTCTAATTAAATATTTAAATATTATATTCTTGTTATCTTTAATTAAAATTTTAATCACCAAAAGATAAAAAAGATTTGATTTATTAAGGTTTTTAAATAATTAAAGAAAAAACTTATATACTAACATCATATACTTAAGATACTTGTTTTTAATTAAATTAAAGAATATAATTTTTTTATATATTATTAATTTTATAATAAATTATTATTATTAATACCTTAAGATTTATTTGTCTTAATTTTATTAGATAAAAATATTATTTAGCATATAAGGGCTCGAAATCTAAGTCTTGCCAATTATTAAATCCTAAGACCTACATTTAGTAAGATCAAATCAAATAAATTATATTGTTAGAGGAAACAATGATGACAGTAATTATACCTAATTGGGAGTGTTTAAATATGAAGCAGATAAATAAATTAATGGGTCACACCAAAAAAATAAATAAATAATGGAAAAAGTATATTTTAATGTGCTTTTGCCATTTCCGACCCAACCAAAAAAAAAAAAAAAAAGACTATGCATTATGGCAACACGAGGGCGAGGCAGAGCTATAAATACCGCGTTAGAGGGAGTCGATCGAGAGCGCAACGTGCATCATACACACGCCACGAAAGATGGGTCAGGCATTTCGTCGAGCATCTGGAAGATTCCAAGCTTCTTCAGCTGCCGATACGACGTCGTCCAAAAAGACCGCCTTCGATCGGCGGCCTCCACCTCCCGTCAAGCCGGAGACCACCAAATCTGGTGGACAAGACGCACTGGACGCGGGTAAGTATGTGTTGGTGTTTCCAAGGGATTGTGGAATAGTTTGCTTCTTTCACTTCATTTCTATTTTGTAGATACTAACATGTCGTAATTACCGTGGTTGATGATAGATTATCCTGATAATTTGCTCTTTGTTTGGAGGGAAAGTGGTTAACAATGCTCTGTCTCATTGCTGATGAGAACTTAGACAATGAGAGAGGTCACTGAATTTTGAGAGCCGGTTTTTTTTTTTTCAATTGATATATTTGATTCTTTTTTGTCAGAGTTCCTGAGGGCTTACCAAGGATTAACTTTTGAAATAAACCGATTTTTGGCGTATTTCTGAGGTTGTCTACTCTTGTTGTGGCCATTTCATTATGGATGATAGTATTTTTACTGTTCTTGCCTCAAGGTAGTCGTCCTACAATTAATGTTGACAACGTCTTGGAAGAAAGAGATCCTAAATTTGATTCTATGCTTGGTCAAATGGCTGGTAGAATCACATCAAAGCCTGGTGGGAAACTTGAGATGGGTGAGGTGAGTTCATGATTCTTTTCACTTCATACACAAAATATCAATTTTGAAAAACCTCTTTACAATAAGCCAGACTAGGCAGTTTTTCACTGCAGAAAAAAGGGAATTGGCTATTCAGTTCTAGCGTATATGTTGATTTTGGTTCGCTGATTGACTAAAAAAACAGGAAAAAGATCTCGGTAATGCTGATTTGGCAAAAGGAACTAAGTGAACTCAGGTGCAAGGGAATCACATGACTATATATAATACTTTATATCTCTCAAGAATGTGTAAAATCTTCAATAAAATTCAACCTTGGCAGTATATTAATAAGCAATAGATATAACCAGCTTGACAGCTGCATTGTAATTTCTCCATCAACACTTGGAGTTCATGGCATATTTCCTTGCCTACTAGCAGGATAATGTCATTGGCATTGAACAGATTCCAGATTTTTTTTTTTTTGAGGGCACTTCGCTTTCTAACTGATACAAGTTCACAAAATGCTGCAGTCAGTAATGACTAACGCAGCCTAATGCTTTTGCACCTGAAATAAGGAAAAGTTTAACACTTCCTGAATTGCAAAACTTGTGCTAGTATTACTTATTTTGCTAGGACAGGCTCATCTCGTGGTTTGATGTTGTGGTTTCAGACTGTGGTACAGAAGTATAATAGGCCTATGCCAAAATTACGAAACACAAAACCAGACTCTGGCAGGTATGAGGAAAGACCTGTTCCTTCAGGCACTTTAAATGTGGCACAGTTACGGCATGCCATCCTCCTTCATGAAGGCAAGGCTGATGATCACAATGGACAGATGGATGTCCACCAGATTGCTGAAAAATTCCGGGTTGATACCGTCCAGATTCAAAAGATCTTGCAGTTCCTATCACTCCCACCTGTAGATGTCAATAAAGAAAAGAACAGGCCTTGAAGCTGAGTGACCTTAAGATCACTACTAACACAGGGCAGCTCCAATCAGATTTGAAGGTTACATGGGGTCTTACTCTTACCCTTTGGACAGTGGTTATAATCTAATCTGCCACAGAAAATCGAATGTGATACTGTGAATCTGAGGTGTTTATCGACTTATAGGTCAGTTGTTGTTATGTTGTTATCGCAGAAAAGCCCAAGTACTCAAATTTTGTTAGGATGTTTCAAAATCCATACAGGTTTTTCATAGTGATGGACATCTCTCATCTAGGGGGAAGTTCCTATGACTTTCAAACCAACGTTTGATTTCCTGTTCGTTCATTCTTGAGATTTACAATGCCAACAAATCCTGGATTTAAGAGCTGTGTTTTTAGGAATAAGAAACGATAGAATTTTGCCTAGCAATATATCATATGTGTTTGTATGCTTTGTATTTATGTACAGATTCTTGGACAATTAGGCTTGCTTCTAATAGGTTGAGCGTCCCTATCCACTCACATGCAAGGATAGTTAAAGATTCTCACTAGGACCATAATTGGGGTTTGTCACTGCAAAGCTCATTAACTCTCTTAGTGGAAGAAAGAGGCCATTTGAACAGACTCATGCAGACACATCGTCGTCGTTCTGGAGCTTTGGCCAAAAAGCTCCGTTCCTCTGCATGATTCAAGCACAGGACCTTTAGGCTATGCATTTTCCTACTTAGTTCGGTGTTTGCTTCTATAATCTGGTTTCCGTTTTTGTATCGGCATCTCAGTCACCGCCTTTCTCGTTTGTGCCATGTCACTCAAGCTGTCAATTACATTTCAGCAGCTTTTCAAAAACCCTAAGGGACGCCACACAGTTATCAATGCTTGGAGAAGCAGCACAACACTGGCTCAATAAAGAAGATATTGGCATCGGCATATCATAGCTACTGAAACTGAACTTCAATACGTTGCATGGTTTTAGACGGCAGCCCGGATGTTGCTTTCTTTGTTTTTTTAATTATTTGACTAACTTGGTCAGATTCTGGGTATTGAGACCCAGTTCGTGATGTTGGTTTTATCTACAAATTGTGTGTGCATGCTAGTTTTCATTAGAATACTAGCTTGGTTTCGCCTGTTCTTATATACTCAGTTTATTATGGGGCCTTTCTAATGTAATCGTTTTATATATAATAATATCTGATCCTTTTATTTAAAAAAAAAAAATCAAATACGGACGTATCATCAGTATTCTATTTTTTTCTCTATATTTCAAGTATAATGTACTAAGATTACCATTGGAACTTAATAATAATGATAATGATAATACAAACACTTCGTCAGCGCACAAGTTAAAAACTTGGTCTTTGTTCTGAATCTCAACTCACAATTTAACTAATCAAAGAAAGAAAAATTACAGAGACTACGGATGCACTAATTAAGGAAATTTGCTTTTAGGATCGCAAAATCAATATATCAATCCAATATGCAACTTAAATTATTTACAAGTCAAGAATAATATGATTTACTTCTGGAACTCCATATAATGCATGGAAACCGTATTTAGTTTACATTAACAGTAAGAACCATTTGAGTGGCATGAAGCCGCCATTCACAGTTGCCAAAAAATACGAACAAAGGTATACTATGATCAGCTCTGTCCCTGAACTTCATCTTAGGAACTATCTGTTGTCTTCACAGCTTTGCCTATAAAAGGCTATGACTAATGTAAATCAGGATGTTCACCTTGCTTTCTTCCCATCCTACGAGGGATTTAAGCATCTAAACTTCTAGGTCTTTTTTTTTTTTTTGGGGGGGGGGAATTATATGAATAATCATTGAAAAGAATTAGAAGCGTAAAAAATTATGTCAGTGTGGACTCCAACCAATCTGAAGTCAATTCATACGCAACAAACGTTACAGCACTGGCTGGTGCAGATTTTATAGTTGAAGGGACTATCCCCTTGTATAGACCTGCCCAACCCTCCAACAACAATATCCGTTCCATAGCATCGAACATATTTCGGTATGTGCGATGCTCAACTCGAGCTCCGTATCTCGGATGCCTTTGAAGACCTTCAATCTGCAGAAAATGATTATTAAAGACTCATAAATAATCTATGTCCAGTTTTCTTAATTTCATCGTATACTTCACAAGAGGCATCAATTTCATAGCGTAAGGTCAACACTAGTTAATTTGATATTTAATCAGATGATGCTAGTAACAAGGAATAAAAATGGAAAAGGCTTATATTAGACATTTTAACTGTTTGCTTCCAGATTTTTAAAAGAAAATATGAAAGTAAATATTTTTATCAATCGGCAGCACATTATTAACTCCATCAAGTGGATGGCAGATGAGTTTGATGCCTGAAATCTTTTCAAAACACATGTAGAGATTTACCTGAAATCTTTTCTTCACCACATCAAGTGGATGGCAGACGAGTTTGGCACACGTCCCAGCGGCCACCCCACAAAGAAAAAGCTGAAAGCTAGAGAGGCCATCTTCCGTGGAGGACAAGCTTGTGTTGGAATATTTGTAACGATTCCATTCCTATAATAACACGTGATGTATGAAAAAAATACGCAAGTTTCAAAAAAATTTCTCACAAAGAAAAAACCTAAAAGAAAAATCCATCAGCATGGGAGATGAAACCAAAAACTCAATCCTTCATGAGGTTACCACGAGAAAAACTTGAATATATTTACAGTTTTGCGATTAGGTAATTCCCAGTTGACCTTTCTGCCACTATTTCACACCAATTTTATTTTAAATGAACAAAACAAGAATCTTATACAAGGCACAGCACATAATTAATCGCACAGATTCATCATAATTCAAACTAGCACAAACTACTATCTATAGCTTCATTCATTGTGAGTGCATATAACTTGTTTGTGTACGCATGACAAGAGTCGTAAACCATGCAGTAATTCATAGATATAAAAGAAGCAAGCATCTCTATATCTACAATGAAGATTCTACATTGAGTGAGAAACCTAGAGGAACACCCAGGACCCAGCCAACGATTGGACTAAAAAGTGTATAACTATAAGAAGCAAGAGTAACCTGCAGGTGCACTTGACAATGAACTAAATAGGATTAATGCATGCAAGGCATAGTGACAACTAATAGGATAAAAATATCAGCAGAAGAGACTGGAATTTTACCATGGTCCAACGCTTAAATGTATCATAGGTGCCAAATTGTAGGCCTGCATAAGGTATAATCTCAACTAGCGTAGGTGATAATCCAGCATACAAGCCTTGTAAGCCACGACTCCTGCCTATATCAAGGAATGCTGATCTCATATTTGGATATACCTAAATATTAGAAAATATTTACAAAGCATCGTTACAAAAATTGTCAACCTCCGATTGAAAGAAAGGAGAGAGAGAAAAAAAAAAGGAGTTTTGTTAGCAGAAGTGGGTGTGGCAGCAGACTCTTGGCATCTCACTAACTTCATGGTAACAAACAGAAACCGAGCGTGGTGCCACTTTAAGCCTTTAGAGTGGTTTCAAACCCTTGGCGCAGCAAGTTATGTGCACTTGAGGAATGTCAAATTATTTAAAGGGATTAAAGTAAGACTGTAGGCCATAGGCAAACGGAACTAAATGACAACTTAAAAACTATATTGGGAATTTTAACTAATTAGACAATGCATCTAATCAGAAAATAATGTTTATACCTTAGGTTCACCTTGAGAAGCCAATATAGTTCGGAGAAGATCAAAGGGATACGACCCTACAGTAGCTGCACACCCAGCTAATGCCCCACTGACAAAGGATAGATATGGGCTCAAATGAATGTGATTCTCTGCAGTAACAGAAGATATATAATTAAAACATAAACTTTTAGTTGAAAAAAAGTACAGGACACTCTTAGTTAAAAAAAAAAAAATCTCTAAACTGAGCATTCTTCTCTAGAAATAGTTAAAGCATTAGTCAACTAAAGTTTAGCAAGAGCAAGGTATTGTAATAAATATGAGTTTATGGACTTAAACTTTTAAGTTTTAAAGAAACAGTTGATAATGATGAGATAAACAAACAACTAGTTACTAACAAAATTACCTAAGAGACACCTGGTACACCAATTCAGATCGCTTATTAAAGCTAATATTCTTAAGTCCACTAGACAACAATTGGATTACAAAACAAATACCTGTCTTGGGAGAACCAGATGCGAAAGTCTTCAACATATGTAAAACTGTAAATTGTATGGCCGTATATGGCATAACCATGAGCAACGCTGGCACATTTCCCCGCCAAAAACCCTGAAACAGACAATTTAAGGACAGCAAGACATGTCATGGTAAAAGTAAATGAATGAATAAATAATATGTATTTTGTCTCCAGACAGAGAGAAAGATGTCATCAAACTTGAAGGGGAGATTTTGAGATTTCCAAAGCCATCACTTAAACAACCAAGCCAATAACCGACCTTTGTAAGGAGAATAGGAAGGTAGAGGCAAAAGCATGGTGAACATTATAACTTATTCTTTTATTGAACATTTAGGAGCATATTTTGCATCTCTCAGTAAAAAAGATGAAGAAATAGAGAGGAAATCATTAGACTGGGATTACTAGGTATGGAGAGACGCACCCCAACTATTTAAAGTTTCCAAAAAGATTGTGCTAGAAGTAAATGGACAAGAAGAGTTCAAGCTCAACGTGTTTTTTGCATCAAAAAAATATTTTAAGCTATTGCAGACCAATTGCCGCACATAACAGCAAAGATAAAGAGGAACATGGGAAGAACAAGCACAAAGAAGCTCTGCTGCTTTGAAGCTGTGTGAGGCATGATACACAAAGGTGATACGTGGGTACATTACATTTGAACAAACATTGTATATTTTGGTTTACTTAGGCAAGCACATTACCTTTATGTACATCATACATTTATTGATATATAATGCATTTTGTTTTTAAAAGCATACAAGTGGAAGAACAACATATGCACATATATAATTATAATATATAATCATAAGTAATGTTTTTAAAGCATTGGTAGAACTACTTAAAAAACTTTGGAAAGACAAAATTTGGGGGAAAATTAAAAAAATGATAAAAGAAGCTGAGCCTTCCTACCTTTACGCCTTCCTCTCTAAAAATATCTTTGCTTGCTTGAACTATCCCAGTATATTTTGATGGTACATACAACTGCTTCCGTAGTGAAGCCCATGAAGATGTGGGCTCTAGTTGAACCTGTAAAGAAATGAGGGGAGGGGGAAAAAGTATCTTCAGCTTATTGCCCAACTTGAAGGCAAACACCAACAAAATGCCACGGATCTAAAAACCAAAATAAGGCAAAACTGAAATACACAATACATGTATTATTATAGACAATTATATATATATATATATAGAACAACCCATTCGTTGTCAAAAACCATAATGACAAGCTACTATTTCTAATGAAAGGTGACAAATTAAATCAAACTTTGTGTTCATAAAGTCCCCACCTCTTGACAGCGATTCACACCATACTCTTATTCATGCTATACCGTCTGGCTTATACAATACAAGATCTGCCTCAAGCAACTGCCAGATGGCTATAAAACGTATTATCAGGAAGTTAACCTGTTTGAAATCCTCATAATTCCAAACTAAATTAACCTTCCCAAACCAAAACTCAGCCACATTCTACACAGTCCAACACTCGTGGAAATTGATTTGAATCATTTGAAAGAAACATGTGGCCATTAAAAGTTTTGCCGGGACATGGCTAATATTTCCTCTTCCCTCCACCATCCGTCAACCTAAACAGAAGAGGAAAGACAAAATAGGAGGAGGACTGGAGGAGGAGATTCAAATCTCCGTACAACTCCCAACTGCCATGCTACCAGCCTACCAATCTTCGCGGACTTTCTAACAGTTTTATTCAACAACAGCACTTAATAGCGATGAAGGATTAATGGGCGTAAACTGTAACTTGAAATTACCCAAACGAATTAACTTAAATTTCTAGGTCAAAGAGACGCAACGGACCAGAAACCGACCTGGAATCTAATCTTAATAACATCAAGAGGCGATGTCACTGTCCGTGATATCCCACCCGAGATTGCCCCAGCGGAAGCATCAATAAAAGCCCGCTTCAGCTTGTTCGGCTCCTCCATAGCCAGCAACACACTTCTTTTCCCTTCAGAACCTACAACCTGCCAAGGGACCGCCTCAAATTCAAGAAACTTGCACATGAAACGTCAAAAATATACCAAAAATCTCACAGCTCCGATAGAAAAATAACAAAATAAAGGAAGGAAGAAACCAACATTAACAATGACAGAGAATAAGACGCATATGTGAAGAAAGAACAATCGTATCGCGAGCGATTAGCTGAAACCTGCAACAAATGCTCCAGGAAACTAGGGTTCCTCTTCAATTACGCAAGATCGCCGAGAATTACACAACTCAAGTTCAGAGACAAAAAGGCGGCAAGTTTCTGAACAATTAATGCAATATCTGCGAATACTTTACCTGACATCAAGGAAGAAGGAGGAGGCTATGGAGAATAGAGCCCGCATTCATACAGGGATGAAGAAAAGGAAGCAATGCTTTTTGTCGCCGCCTTATTTGATTGAGAAGACTTGAAAGAAAATAACAGGAAGGGTTGTAGTCCGCGTGATCGTCTGATAGAATAAATTTGCTTTGCAGGATTCTGACGGAGAGGTTGAAAACCTTGGTTGAGTTTTGACTGTTGGATGAAGAATATTTAAGCTGTTGCTTTTAATCAGCTGGTTTGATTTCGACGACTGAATCTTCCAACTCTATCATATTATCATAATTATTATTATTATTTACCTGACTTTTCTAGGTTAATTTAGGATAATTTATTAGCGGAGAAAATCTTAGAATCTAACGCTACCTAGTACCGATAAGCTATAGAATTAATTAATTGGCAAGACTAGGATAAGAAGAAAGGTTTGTTTTAGTTTGATAATACCACTAATATAGATATAGATCTTTTTAATGTATTTATTATTTAAAACATAACTAGATAAGATCGTGTAGAGTTGTATTAATTAGCTAGCATTGTACCATAATGACACTAAGTGCTTCACTTAAATATCTTTTAGCCTCGGTTTAGTTCAATTCCGCGCTTTAATCTTGACGCCTTTTATTTATTCCTAATGTTTGGTTGAGCTTACTAATGTAAAAGGAATTATACTATGTAATCATGGTTTCCTTAAAATAATACATCTCAAATGCAAAGTTGGACCTCATGAATGAGTATTATAAGATTAAAAGAAGAATAAAAGGACACTATCGTCCTTGAAAAAAATCAGACAATCCTATTCCTATGCCATCTCCTGACTCCCCTCCTCCTGTGGCAACATCACTAATCTTCAACTTCTCCGACAACATTGTCGACCTTCTCCTGCTCACTTTGCTCCTCCATTTTTGGATTAGGTTTCTACTTTCTTTTAATGGCTATTTCAATCTAGAAAGGAAGACAACGTTAGAGTAAAAGAAGTGACCAAAGATGGTTTTACTGCTTAGAGTATTTTTGTCTTTTTATTTTTATTTTCATTTAATTAAGTTTAAAAATAATCTAAATCTCATTGTCATACCAAGCTCACCATAATCTCTTTCTTTCTTTTTTTGGGCAGACAAATATTTCAAAAGTTTCTTTTCGTAATTTAATAAAAACTTCAATGAAAAGTTACATTCTTCATGCCAACTTCACATGCTTTTTCTATAATTTATTTTTTCTAATGAACCACTCAGAGTTTTAAAATGGGGTAATATCAATGAATAATTGCTAAAAAAATTTAATATTCAATAAGGATTTTAGTTGAATTAAATACTTATTAAAACAATAACTTATTAGTGTTTACTTGTTAGAAATTTTTTTACGAAATTAATTTGCTCCTAAGATCTTTTACTAATATTTTCCCTTTTAAAATTTATAACTGCTAGTTAAACTCAAACAAAATATATTTTCTAAATGACTATAAAACTATTACAACATAAATAATTGAGACTGACTCAAACAGCAAGAATAAGTAAAGTAGTGTGGGTCATGATCAAAGTTCAAGCCCTTAATTTTTAAAATTCAAGGCTCTCAGCCTCTCCTCACAGTTCAACATCTTAAAGTTTAATTGCATATGATTTTTTATTCATTAAATACCAATAAGGAAGTGGGTGTTTGGGATAAGTGTTCCACTTTCATCTCTGAAGGCTCTTTCTTTTGTACAAGCCACCAGCCACTCACCTTTGAATTGATGGACGTAGTAATTTGTCTTGTAAAATTACTTTGAGCTTTGAGGTGTGGACATTGGGAATTTTTATCATGAGATATTGGCTTCTTTGGAATCTAGAAAGTGGTCCCCCACATGAATTATTTATAAGCTTTAAACGGTATAAATTTTAATATTAATAAATAATTAATATCCACAATTCACCTCAGCCAACGATGTTATTACCCAGTCTTCATGTAGTTATAAGGTACTTGGTGCTTATTAGGTGTGCAATTGTATATTTAGATAAAAATAGAAAATATAATCAAACAATTTCTGAATTATTTTTTGTAATTTTTGCTATTCAGTCAATAATTTCACCACTTTGAATATTATTTTTAGAAAAATTATTTAAATATTTTTTCATTTTTACATTAAAAAAACCAATATCAGACAAGCCCTTTACTATTTTTTGTAAATTTTTCTGTTCTGTTTAAACAGAAAATTCCATAAAAATACTTGAACAAGTTTATTTTTTTCCCTGGTCAACGTCAACAAATCACTACTGTTGTTTTTTACCTCCAAATTTCATAATTGAAACCAACTTTTTCTCTCTTCCCCCCCCCCTCTCCCTTCATTTCCTTTTTAGACATAAACCAACCTTTTCTTTTCCTTTGAAAGTGTAGAATCCATGTTCGTGTATTCTTTTAGCAATTATATGAAACACATGTTACCTGTAAATGGACCTAATCAAGAGACTAAATTATCTTTTTAAAATATATTGTATAAAAAAAAACAGTTACATGCTCACTTTTTTTTTTCTTGCCAGGTATAATTACCATATGTACTGGTCAGCATTTAAGTTGTATTACCTCGAATGCACTATTGCCTCTCTCTTCCTTGACAGTTAAACCCAAGAGATCGATATGGTTGTCATATTTTGATTGCATAGTATCTGAACAAGACAACGTGATATGATCAGTATCAAGTGTTAAAGGTTTAATTTGGGTATTTACATAATACACAAGGAAAAAGAGAATCTTAAATTTCGGATCTTACAAGCAATTTGAGCTATTAGCTTACATATTACAAATAACAGCTTTTCTTTCAAGGATGGACACCCAAATCCTTGTCTTCTTTGTATTGGCCAACAAAAAACGATTTTGTTGATAACGTGAGAGCGGCTCATTCTATTTGAAGGCATGAGTTCAAATCTTGTTGATGTGAAAATTTTATTATTAGGTAATTTGTATTAAGTATATTTGTAAATGCTATTTAAATCTGTGAGAAAAATATTCAATATTTTCCATAAAAATTGAGACAAAAAAATAGTAGTATAAAAGTTAAGTATTGTATACCACAAAATTATAAATATAGGCATTAAGCCCCCCCGGGACCAAGAAGCCCGTATCTCATATGGTTAAAATTTAAACTGGGACAATTGGCTTTAAATGCAACTGGGGCTTAGATACACCACACTGTTTAAAGCACGTAAAGTTAGGTTCGCCTCGAGTTTAAGGACAGAGACTTTAGTGTTTGGGATTTTTTTGGACATAAGAGCTTGTGAATTTACACTTAAAAAAAAATTATTAGATTGTTTAAATATAAATGGACTTGAGCCAATAAAAGAAAATCTCATATAAGATAAAGCAGTGGATTGATAATAATATATAATAAAATAGAAAGACTCATAAATTAAACCCTATTATTTTGAATTAAGATGTGATGTTTTTTATGTATTCTTGCTTATTTGTCATCTCTTTTGTTCTTGATGTAAGGGCTTGTTGCTGAAAGCCTCTATCAATGCTCAATCCAAATTAGTTTGAACTTCTGTTAAGTCTCTTCAACTCAATGTGAGGTGAGTTCAAAATATAGTACACACAAGCAATTAAAAGATGATAATAAAATATACAAGTGACCTAATTCAACATATACATATGTAAGGTTATGATCGTGGCCTACCAAGGAAAAGAGAGCATGTAGTTTCATTTTCATAGTCCAATAATTTAACAGACAAGAAAGCAACTTATTAATTTTGATAAAACCATCCTTTGCTTGTTTGATGATGTTAATGGGTCAAGGGTCCGGTTTCAGTGCATCATCGCCAATCCATATTTACATTTTTTATACTTATTTCATATTTATTAAAATAAAAATTATATATAATAATAAATATATTCTATCATCAATTTGGATAATGTAGATTTAATTTGAATAATTTAATTTAATATTAAATATTTTTATTATTTTTACAAATTGACTATTCGGATATATTTTAAATAGTCTAGATTTAAAATTTATAAATTGCAACTTTTTCTTAATTTTCTAAAGTGACACTTTGAAAATTATCTTTTATATTTATTTTTAATATTATATTTATTAAAATAAAAAATTCTTAAAAATTATTATTAAATCTAAAATGTCTAGAATATATTTGAATAGTCAATTTAAAAAAATTATAAAAAATAATATTAAAATAGACAATCTAAATTAAATTTGAATTATCAAATTAATAACAAGATGGATTCATTAAAATTTTATACTTTTTTTATAATAAATGTAAAATAAAAATCTAAAAATAAAATTTAAAAATCTAGACGGTCCGCAGCATGATAAACACCGACACCAAAGAGGGCGGCTCAGTCACGCATAACAACTCTTCCATGCCTCCAGGGGACACTACTCTATCCATGGAAGGCGGGGCCAGGAGAGGATATAACTCAACCATATAATGTCACTGTAAAATACAATAACATAAAATATTATAATTTTAATGAGGATAGAAATTTGTCAAACGTGGTGCTTATTCAGCAAATTTCGAAGGATGTCAATGAAGCTGTCGATTTTCTTTTCAAATTAACTTTTTTATATTAATGGATTTTATCCTATTTGGTTATTGTTTTGATGTAAGATATTAGAACTTTTGTTTCGTTTTTTTTTTTCCTTGTGTATGAAAAAAAAGAAGAGAAATTTATCAAACAAGGGACAGAATCATTGGGCTGTGTTTTGTTTTGTTTTTATTCATCCATGGCTTGTCCCATTCCATCCAAACAAAAAACAAAAAAACTGTTAGGTGCCATCTTTTTTCTACTATTCACATACTTCGCAGTTTGAAATTTTTGAGTGGGTATTTCGTTTCTTGTAAAACTACAAAATGCTTGATTCTATTCTAACTTTGTTCTCGAGCTACATATATAAGGAACTTTGTTAACAAATGCTAGAGTTCCTCATCAAGCATTTTTTTCTACATACAGTAATTATTATTAGATTATACATCATTTTCCTTCCTGACTAGGTACCATACATTATGGTTATATTATTTTTTAAACTATACTATCATTACTTGAATTTGTATCTTATTGAATTTGCCTACAGGATTGTGGCTAGTTCCATCCAACAACCAAAAAAAAAAACGTGTCAGGTGCCACCTTCTTTTCTACTATTCACCTACCTTCTCAATATTCTTTTAATGGATCACTTGTATTATAATTTGAATT